TGCTGTAGAGAAAAAAGGAAAGGAAATAAAAAGACGGGGTGCGAGAGGAAAAGCATATACAGCCTAACCCGCCCCGCCCCGCCCCGCCCCCCCCACCGGACTAACCCGCGAGCCGCTCCCGGCTCCGCCCCCCCCGCCCAACCCCCACCCGCGCCTGTGCCTGCCACCCGTGCCGCCTCCTCCACGCTCGCCCACGACGCCAGCCGCCCGTCGCCCGCCGCACCGCCGTCTCGCCCGCCGCCAATCAGAATTTTACGAGGAAACAATTCCAGGTGTCCCATCCCTCGCTTGGCTTGCCGCGTTGCCGGTGTTCTTTCTTTCTTCGTCTGCGTGTGTGGATTTGGTTTTATTTTCCATTTCCGGGCGCGTTACCTCGCACGGCAGGTTCTGCCGGGCTCTGCGCTTCACCTGTGATCCTGTGTGAGCTCTGTGTGTGAAGTATTTAAAACACCGTCTTCTCCTTTCGCCTGCGGAAACGACCACCGCTCCCTGGCGTGGCATATCTCGTCAACCTGCATGATGGGGGGAACCTCGCTGCATCTCCTGTCGGTATGTCCGCAGCGCGCTTCGCTCGACTGCTGGTCGTTCCAGACGGCCCAGGCCGCAGCGACAACAGGCTCACGTGCGGCGGCAGCGGTGGTGGCGCCCTCGACGGCGGCCAGACCTGCGGCAACGATGGCCCTCCGGCTCCTTGCCGTGAGGACTTCGCTCACCTCGGAGACGGTCAAGAGCGAGCATACCGGCAAGCCCGCAACAAGTGGGCTGCAGCGGGCAAGAAGCGCAAGCGACACGAAAGCAAGCATGCTGAGCGAGATGCAAAAGTACATCACGATGCTGCTCGAGCGCAGATCATGCGGCTGCGTTGCGGGGAAACGCAGGACGCCGCGGAGTCCCTCGCCGCTTACTTGCTCCGTGGAGGAAGCGGCGATCCCAGCTACGGCTCGTCGGACTGGTGCGTAGCAGCGACACTGGTCCGCCTGCCCAGCACGCGTAACCCCCTCTCTGCTCGCAGGCTATCAGAATTCATCCTCCTGATGAGCATGGAGGCAACATACTCCGCTGTCGAGAAGGCCGCTGCAGCTAGCCTCGCGCTGAGTGAGCCGGCAACGCGATTCATGATCGAGAAAATGCGGTCACTGGCGGTGCAATGGCGAGATATGGCAGTGTCGACCTTCCAGCAGGAGCAGGATTCGCAAGTGTGCGCCTTGCTGTCGTCTGCGGCATACTGCGACGATGTTCAGCTGCCGCCGATGCTACCTCCGAAGCTCGCCGCCCTTGCATCAGTGCTTGCCGCCCCCAAAACAGTCGACATCCAGGCCAGTGACGCACAGCTGCAGGAGTACGAGGCGCACCTGGACCGGCTGAGAGAGAAGCGTCGCGCGTCGGAGCAGCGCACGGCAGAGAGGAAGGCGGGCGTGCTGCCAGCCAAGGAGCCAGAGGCGGAGGCTGCGAGTCTCGAGCGCTATCTTCGCGAGCGAGAGGAGCGAGAGAAGCTTCGGGCGCTGTGCAGAGCAATCGAGGAGGGCGACGAGGCTACGGCGCGGGCGTGGCTGGACGGCGGTGGACAGATCAACGCGATGTACGAGTACGAGCGGGACTCAAAGGGCCAGCCCATGTACAGGACGCTGCTGGGGCTTGCAGCCAGAGGGACCGGGGGTATGAATGGCAGGGCCAAGCAAGAGGCGGCGCTGGTCCATATGCTGCTGCAGCGCGGTGCTGAGATCAACCAGCAAGATGGGCGGGGCGAGACGGCGCTGATGCTCGCCGCTGAAGGCGGCAACGTGCTGGTGGTGGACATCCTGCTGCGGCACGGCGCGGAAGTCAACTTGCGAGACAACCAAGGCTGGACTGCGCTCGTGTGCGCCTCCTTCTACTCCATGCCTGACCGTGCTCGACACGCTACTCTGCTTCGGCTGCTGCAGGCAGGCGCACTTATGCCGACTGCAGTCTGGTACAAAAGCGCCGTCTGCAGTCGTAACGACGACGAGTACAACTACCTGCGAGAGGTGGAATCGGCATATCGCATGTCAACTACGCCGGACGCCTCCTCAATGGACACTGCAACGGATACCTCCTCCTCATCGTCCTTCCGCAAGCAGCTCCCCGGCGAACCGCTAGACGACTACATCGCTGCCTTCCGCGCAGCGCAATCGTGATCGGGTATGCGTGCTCACGCAGGCTGTCGTAGACGCCCCCACCCCATAGGTACGCGCGAGGCTGCCCTAGAGAAGAACAAGAACCTCACCATCTGGTGGCGTGGGCGAGGTCGGCGAGGCCGGGCTCGCTCACACCACCACAAAGCCCTTGCAAACTAGGACTGCGAGGAGGGATGGGATGGGTGCAGGCGGCACGCGAAGACTGGTTGCAATCCCGCCGACCGCCAGGCCGCGGGATGATGCGTGCGTGGTCTTGTAGTGGGTCTCGGAAGCTCTCCTCTCGGGCTAGGAGCCAGCCCAGGTGGCGCGAACCTTGTCTCGGCTTGTGTTTTTCAGTGTATGTTCTATGTAGCTCTTACGAACGTACCCGTAGGTGAACTGCTGACAGGGTTTGCGATGAGGAGCGATCCGATTTTTTTAAACAATTCCAGGTGTCCCATCCCTCGCTTGGCTTGCCGCGTTGCCGGTGTTCTTTCTTTCTTCGTCTGCGTGTGTGGAGTGTGGGTTGGTTTCCATTTCCGGGCGCGTTACCTCGCACGGCAGGTTCTGCCGGGCTCTGCGCTTCACCTGTGATCCTGTGTGAGCTCTGTGTGTGAAGTATTTTCTTCTCAATAACAAGGCTGTGAAACGGCCATTGCGCGGATTCTGGGCGGGCTACGCTGGTCGATGCGGAGGCTACGGCCCCGTCGTGACTAGCCCCGTACCTGCAAAACGTGGCGCCGCGGCTGGAAGGACAACGTTCCCTGCTTCATGGCCGATCTATTCGGCAAGCGGGCGCGCGCCGCCGAGGGCATGGCCGCACGCGAAATGACGCTCGAGCAGACCGTGGCCCTCAACGAGAGGCTGCGCCGCGACGGCAAGATCATCGCCGTCGGAAGCGCTAAGAAGTCCAACGACGACCCCTTTGCCTCTGCGCCAGTGCTGCCCAGCCGAGCCGCCGCAGCGGCCAGTGCTGCCGCCGCCGCGCCGCCTGTCGCCCCCGCACCGCCGCCGCGGCCCGCGACAGCCGCCGCCGCTCCGAGCGTCGACATGCTCTCCGAGATTGCGATGAACGAGCTTCCGCTGGCGGTGCCTGGCTCCAAGCTGGCCGCGTCGGCGCACTCCATCCCCTCTGTGACGTCGCTCGACATGGCGCCGCCGCCTCCTGCGCCGGACGGGCCGGCGGCGGGCTATCGCGCGAGCGGAGCGCCCGCCGCGCTCGAACTGCGGGCGGGCGAGGTGCTCGGCAAGCACAAGTGGCGGGAGACGCTCGAGGGCGCGGTGGTTGCCACCAGCCGAGGGAGGGGCGCCGCCCTCGCGCCCGGCACGCCCCTCCGCAAGATTGTCGCGGCGCAGCAGGCGCAGCAGGCCCAGGCGGCCGTCCTCGCCCCCGCCTCCTTCCTCGTCGGCACCGCCGCGTGCGTCCTCGGCGCCGCCGTCGCCGCAGCCTCCCTGTGGGTCGCCGCGGGCAAGCCGGGGTATCGGCAGGCGGTCGACCGCGTGGCCGAGAAGAACGTGGCGCGGCGGGACCGGCTGCAGGCTGGCGCGGTCGGCGCGACCACCACCGCCATCAGCGCCGCGGCCGAGACGGCGGTCCTCGAGTCGTCGGTCGTGCGCGACTTGGCGCCGGAGATTCGGAAACAGTTTGGCGGCAAGGCCAAGGGCTGAGGGCTGGGAGGCGACGCGATCTTCTTGGGCCCTGGCGCCGCGCGAGAGAGGGCGAGGGAAGCGCGCGGCGCCGCTTGTACATTCTTGTGCGACCCCACCACCAGCGCCGGGGCAACCAGTGTCTAGAGTACATTCTCACTTCTCTCTTTCTTGGGTCTGCCGTGCACCGGCCCGGTGACCCTCTCTCACCTGTACTTTACGCGAAGCTCCTTCTGTGTACTGACGCATTTTCACCACACAAATTACATGATCCATATTGCGACAAGGGCGATGGGCCGCGCGGAAGGCACGGCAATAAGCCAAAACGAACGTAAGAACACGGCGCGTCCGAGAGCGCTCGAGAGGACGAGCGGCGAGCGCGAGAGATTGCGGCATCCGAACGAACTTCTGGACGAAAAGAGAGCGGCGCATGCCAGGGCGAGAAGCAGGGCGACCCTGCGCCGCGCTACCTCCCATTCACGTCGATCACGTCGGCGTCGTCCCCCCGAGACTTCCCAGCCGAGGAGGGAGCGTCCGCCTTTGGCGGCGGCGCAGAGGCCTCGTTCACGCTGCGGCCAAGCTCGGTGTTCTCGAGCAGCCAGCCAATCGTGGCGGTAGGCACGACGTCGAGGCCCGGCAGGACCTCCTCCGCAAAGGCGAGGCCGGTGAGGATGGAGTTGCCGTAAAGGTAGTTCACGAGGAGCGCCGAAACGGGCGCCCACGCCAGGTCGGCTCCCTCGCCCGCGAGCGGCACCGCATAGCTGGCGACGCCAACGAGGTCGATGAGTATGCTGACGAGCAGCTTGATCAGCCGTTCGTTGTCGGGACCTGGCGACGCGCTGCACCAGACTGTTTGTACGCGTAGGGCCGCAGTCTGCTGGAAAAGGGCTCGCCGCGGCGGCTGCACGAAAGCAGCGGATGCAGCAGCTGGAAAGCGCTGCGCGTGCGTGGCGAGCTCGATGGGCCGTGCGCTTGGCGCAAAGGATGGCGTGAGCGCATGCGCGGTAGAGGTTGAGCAAAGCAGACAGAGGAGGAAGCGGCGCGCCATCGGCTCGGGCCGCTTGTTTTCTCTGTGCAAATTGCTGTTTCTTTCTTTGCTAATTGGACAGGCGCTTTCTTGAAGAAAAAGAAAAAGCGGCGCCAAGCCGATCCTCCCACCGGATCGGCGCCCGCCTGTCTGGCCTCTCGCCTGAGCAGCTCGTCGCCTTCGTCGACGAGCAGGCGCCCCTCTGGAGCGCCACCGCGCTGCGCGTGGCGGAGGAGCACGCCGCACGGCTCGCGGAGCAGCCCGAGTGGGTGCTCTCCGAGGTCCTCCTCTCGCCGGACCTCGCCCCGCACACCCTCGCCCAGCTGCCGACCAAGGAGCACGCCGCCAAGGGGACGTGCCGCGCGTGGCGCCGCGGCTGGAAGGAGACGCTGAAGAAGCGCGAGAGGCCGCGCCTGCTCGTGTTCGGCGGCCACGACAGCGAGGGTAGGACTGTCAACTCGCTGGAGCGGTACGACCCGTCAACGAATGAGTGGGAGGAGGAGGCTGTGGCGCCGATGCCTTCGACACGAAGGTATGTCGGCACGGCGGTGCTCGAGGGCAAGCTCTACGCGGCGGGCGGCCAGAGCGAGGCCGACAACGGCGCAACTTCCAACCTGGTGGAGCGGTACGACTTTGCCACGAAAGCGTGGGAGGAGGTGGCGCCGATGGCGACGCCACGCAAGGCTCACAAAATGGCGGTGCTCGACGGCAAGCTGTACGCCGTGGGCGGGTACGACGACCACTACCTCACCTCGGTGGAGCGGTACGATCCGGCGGATTAATCACGCCGTGGCGGCTCTCGACGTCAAACTCTATGCTATCCGCGGGTACGACGGTGGCTACCTCGCCTCGGTGGAGAGGTACGACCCGGCGACGAACGCGTGGGAGGCGGTGGCGCCGATGGCGACGGATCGGAGTCGTCACGCCGTGGCGGTGCTGGACGGCAAGCTGTACGCTGTGGGCGGGTACAACGATGACAACTTTAGCCACAGCTCAGTCGAGCGGTACGACCCGGCGACAAACGCGTGGGAGGCGGTGGCGCCGATGGCGGAGGCTCGGCAGGCTCACGGCATGGCGGTGCTGGACGGCAAGCTGTACGCTGTGGGAGGCGTCAGCGCCGACAACGACGACGACGACGACCCCGGCTGGCTCAGCTCGGTGGAGCGGTACGACCCGGCGCTGCACGCGTGGGAGGCGGGTACGCCCATCAGCTCGGCGCGTGCTGGCCATTGCATTGCCCTCCTGTGTTTCCAACCCCTCTCTGTGTGCGCGCGCTCCCCCGCGGCGGCCGACGGCGACGCCGCGAGAGCCAGTGCGCCTGCTTGGGATAGACTCTCGCCCCTCCTCTCTCTCACCCCTCGTACGGCTATGGGTGGTGGTCTGTTAACGAGTTAGATATGACACAACCATCACTGCAACGACTTGATAGCGACACACTGACGCATGAGGCATCTCGGACACAGACGGAGAATCTCTCTCTCAGACGGGATAGAAGCCGGCCACGAAAATCCATCGGCAGGAAATCGGAAGGACACGCCGGACATGCACAAGAGAGGACACCGCGTTGAGTGCCAGTCATGAGTGAGCGGCGGAATCAGAGCTCGGCCGATGGGTATAGCACCCGAGAAAAGAGGGCAAAGGCGGCCAGCGCACACACGGCGAGCCCCACGAGTCTGACAGACAACCGGGAGTCCACACGAGCGCACGGATAGACGCCTTCCGCGTTGGCATGTGTCGGCAGGCTCGGACCGGCGCTCCGCCGCTGCAGCAGCTGGGAGAAGGAAGACATGGGCTCAACGGCGTCGCTCGGGTCGGCAACCTTCCTCCTAGTCTCGTTCCTCGCCTTATTTTTCTTTTCTTATCTTTTCCTGAGCACTTCCTGAGCACTTCCCTGAACACAGCAACAACCCAACCTAGCCTAACCGCAAGTCAAGTCCGAACAGTGTCAAGCCCAGGCCTCTCAGTTCACGCCGGAATCGTGAACCGTGAACCGTGAACCAACTAGCCCCCGCCCCGAGTCCGTGAACCCCGAACCGTGAACCGACTAGCCCCCACCCCGAGTCCGTGAACCGTGATCCGTGAACCGACTCCTCCCGCGACACCCGCCGCGAACCGTGAACCGTGAACGAACCGAGTCTGGCGAACCGGCGGTGAACCGCCGGTTCGCGAACTGGGTTCGCGAACTGGTTCGTGAACCGCCCCCACCAAGTTCGCGCGGCGGTTCGCGGACTGGGTTCGCGAGAACTGGTTCGTGAACCGCCCCACCAAGTTCGCGCGGTTATCAACTAATTCTAACCGCGAACGACTGCGAATCAAACTCGATGGAGACCTACTTGCCGGGCTCATAGTCCTTCTCGAGTGCTTGCGCATGCACTCCAATGAAGGCGCGCGGTTCATGCGGAGAATCACCACACCATCGAGTACTCCTCCGCGTTGAGACTGAGGCGGTAACGGTGCACCATGAGAGCTTGTCGCAGAAAGACTCGGCCATGAGGGCGCCGATCTGGCCGGTCGAGCAGCTCCCGCCATCCCCGGGAGGAATTAAGCCAAACCGTGGCTGCTTCTCAAGGTCGCGGTAAATCCGTCCCATGTCCAGGTGAAGCTGGTCGATGAGGTCGTCTTGAGGATCGAAGTCGTACTTGTCGTTCTCCTGTGTGCTGTGAACAAGCGCGATATGAGTTCGAAAGTAAAATCCGTAAGTTGTCGGCGTCGGAGGAGCGTGGGCGGCAACTGTATGTTAGAGCTGAGGGGCGACAGACGGCCGGCGGGCAGAGGCACAGGCTGTGGCACAGGTAGCCCATCATCTCGTCGAACTCCCCTCGAGGAACTCCCGCCACTTTGTTCCGGCTTTTCGCCGCGCCTTCGAATTTCTGGGTCTCGGTTCACGGGTGTGGTTCGCGAACTGTGGTTCGCGAACTGTGTCGGTGTGTAAGAGGTGTGAAAGTAAAGCTTGGTTCATGAACTAGTTCAGTGATTCACCCTCGTGCCTCGAACGAACCGACCGTGAACTCTGAACCGTGAACTCGAACCGAGGTCCGAGCAGGACAAAAGGGCGAACCGCGAACGAACCGTGAACGAAGGGAGAACCAGGCGGGGCAGCGTCGGGCCGAACCGTGAACCGTGAACCGACTAGCACCCACCCGAGTCCGTGAACCGCGAACCGTGAACCGCGAACAGTTGTAAAAGGCCCTGCTCGGCCGTGGCTTCTTCAGCCCGCGCGATGGCCGACTCGTCGTGTCTGCTCGAGTGGCACCCGTACGCCAAGGACCGGACGATGGGCCTCAACCACCAGCTCGCGTCGCTCTCCTGCGCGCTGGCCGAGGCGCACCACCTCGGCCGCACCCTCGTGCTTCCGCCCAGCATGTGCCTCTTCGGGCTGCACACCGAGCGCTGGTCGGGCTCCGACGCTCCTGGCGGACGGTGCGTGCCGATGGGCGACCTGTTCGACCTCGAGCTTCTCTCGCGGCTCGTCCCGGTGGTGCTCGGCCCGATTGAGAACCGGACCTCGCCGCAGCAGCTGCGCGGCGCGGTCGACGTGCAGCGCGGCCTCAAATCGGCAGAGGTGGCGAGCCAGCACCCGTGCGCGAGGGCGCCGGTGGTGCGGCGGCGCGTGGACAACTTTTGGTTCACGATGTGCTCGAAGCGCATCGCCGACTCAGACTCCATCATGGGCGCGCTGCACGCCGCGCTCGGCTCTCCTCCGTCCGCAAAGAGGCGAGAGCCGGGCACCGTAGGCGTCCCCTCCCTCGACCCCTCGGCCGGCTCTCGCACGCCGCCCCCTCCGCCCCTCCCCAGGCCGCTCAACGTCCTCCTCCGCTCGGGCCTCTTCTACTCTCAGCGCATCAAGCGCGCGGTCCGCGCCGTGCAGCGCTCCATCGGAGGCGCGTCCGGCAGATGGGATCCGGCAGACTCGGATTCCTTGCGCGCGCTGTCCCGTGAGAGGGGAGCGAGACTCTCCTCTCCTTCCCCTCGCATCACACCGCTGCCTCGTGACGGAGAGCAGACCCTCTGTTCTCTTGCGCCCGCACTCTCTTCTCGTGCGCCCGCACCACCACACCACTGCCCGCATGTGCATGTGGAGGCGGGGTCCCTTACCCCACTGGTGTGAACAGCCCCCGTCCCCATACTGCACACCCGGCGCCTATGGATGCTCGCCCGGGCACCTCTCGCCCACTCTGCCCCGCAGGCGAGTACTACTCGGTGCACGTGCGCCGCTCCGACAAGCTCACCGCGTGCGACGTCAGGCAACAGCAGGCCGAGCAGCGCTCGCGCGGCCAGCTCGACTACGTCGAGCCTCCGAAGGACGTGAAGGTCGTCGGCGAGTGCAAGGTGCGCGACCAGCTGACGCGCCCCGAGGGACTGCGCCACGCGCTCTCTCTCTGGTTCCCGGAGCAGAGCCGCGTCTACATCGGCAGCACCGAGCGGCCAGACTTCTTTGCGCCGCTGCGCTCGTCGTTCCGGCTCTACTTTGCCGAGGACTTTGGGCGCGCGCTCGCGAACGTGAGCAACAACTACGAGCTCTACGCCGTCGAGACGCTCCTCTTCTTCGGCTCGAGCGGCACCGTCGAGACGCTCGGCTACGCCGCCTCGTGGGTGCAGGACGCCTGCTTCCCGGCGGCGAGGCTGCGGGCCGAGTCTCGCTCAGGCCGGCGGGCGGCGAGGATGCTGCCGCGCCACGCCAACGGGAGCGGCGGTGTGCGAGTCGAGTGCGTCGACCGGTTCGGCCTGGTTGCCAACGGAGTGCGGTGCGCGCCGCCCTCTGCTGCCCGCGGGCAGGCGGGCGTACCTTCGGGGCGTGTCCGCTCGTCCTGACGGCTCCTGCTCCCGCGCGTGCAGGTACGGCCCCGCTTGCGTGGACAACCCGCCGTGCGGCAAGGCGATGCCCCCCTCCCCCCTGTGCCGCAGCCGCGAGGTGTGAACAGCGTCTCTTCACAGCACGGAGCGTGGACAGGCGATGTCCCTCGTTCCGCAGCCGCAAGGCTGCGGGAGGATGGCGAGCGGGTCGAGGGCGGCGGGGCGGGCGGCGGGGGGCGAGTGCGTTCTCTCGGCGCCGGGGCGGGGCTGGCGGCGGCAGTGGTCAAACGCGTCGCTGGAGGAGGCTGGGCGGAGCCGGGCATCGGTGTGGGGTGGGCGGGGGGCCGGCGGCAGGGGCAGCAGGGGCAGCTTGGGCAGGGGCAGCGGCCGCCGCGGCGGCGGCGGCGGAGGCGGGAAGAGCGGCGGCGGAGGCGGGAAGAGCGGCGGCGGCGGCGGGAAGAGCGTCTCTGCCCTGCAGCGGCGCGCGCTCGAGTAGTGGCCCGCAAGGAGGAGAGCCTCTCACGCCCCCCTTCCCCCCCCGCGTGAGGGCAGGAGAGTGCTCGAGCTGGAGGCGCTGCTCGCTCGGAGAGAGCTCGACCTCACCCGCTACAAGAACCGGCTGCGCGAGCAAGAGATGGCGGCGACGCTGGCCCAGAGGGAGGCTGCCGCGTCGGAGGGCTCGCGGTGGAGGAGGATCGGCGGCGGGGAGGAGCAGCCGGCCCCGAGCACGAGGTAGGTGCCGTAACATCCGACCCCGATCACCTCTCTTCCCATACTCCCCGTCCACATTTCCACCTCACGAGGCGGCGGGGCGGCGCACCGCGGGCTGAGGACCCCCCTGCTCGCCGATTCTCGAAATAAATAAATAACGAACCGTCAAACTCTGAGACGAGATGGGCGATTTTTAGGGACATGTGTCCCCGCCCTGCACGATTTTGGTGTGAGGGATCTTCGAATCCGTCCCCCTCACCCCTCGTCACAACCCGACGCCACGCAGAGAAGAGAGTTCCCCACACTTGGCGTGACAGAAAGTGCTGCACCGACCCTTTTATTTGCTTCCTCGAGTGGCGTCATTTTATTAGACAGCTTTTGTGAAGTGGGAAGACTGAGGGAGAAGGCCAGTCCGAGAACATAGTGAGACTAACCACTAAGAGTTGCCGCCGCTGAGCGGTGAGACTGGGAGAGTCGGTGTCCGCCCTCACTCACCTGCCCCCCTAGCTGGAAGCTGCCCCCCTCACCGGAGCAGGAAGCGCTCGCCCGCCCAACAGCCGAGCCCGAGCCCGATCAGCGCGCCGTACAGCTTCAGCCACGAGCCGTCCCTCCAGACCGTGTCGAGGACCGGGTAGGGGGGCACGCCCCTCGCCCACCAGCAGACCCGGTGGCTCCACCACACGTACAAGCAGCCGTACCCGACCACGAGGAGCAGGGACGGACCTGCCGGCAGCAGTGGAGGCAGCTCGCCCGAGTAGAGCGCGACCTCGAGCGGCACAATGAGCGGCATCGCCGTGTGCTGCACCTGGCGACGGGGTGGTGCTGCTGAGCAGAGCCCACCTGCCCTGCGGAGACGCTGGCCGACCACCTGCAGCAGAGCGTGGACGGCTGCCTGCGGCATGCGAAGAGAGGGCCGCAGCAGGAGGTTCACGGCGCTCTCCGCCGCAGCGTCGTCGGCGGGAAAGTCGCCCCGCGGGAACATATGCCACGGGTTCGCCACGGCGAGTGCCCAGAAGCCAATGCCAACCACGCACCCCGCCGGCCCGAGGACCTCGCGCAGCGCCCCGGCCATGCCGCGCCGGCCGAGGCAGGCGGCGGCGAGGTAGGCGGCGGCAAGGCAGTGGGTACAAACGGTGAGATGCTGGAACGACGATGTAAGTCGCATCAACCGGTACGGTAGCCCTTTCCTCAGCGCCGCTTCATCGCCCTGCTTGCGGCTGGGCGGGAGCATGCGCCGGTCCTCCGGGATCAACGCAAGGAGGAAATAGAGGCACCCGATCGGGCCGTGGAGGGCGAGATTGGCAGCCCAGAAGTTGGAGAGGGGCATAGCTGTTGAGCGCTGTCAGGCATCGTCCCGGCCTGGTGGTCCGGCCGACCGCCGAACTAGAAACCCGTCGTCTACATCGAAAACCCTACTCCACCTTCGGGGAAAAGCTATATACGCTGAAAATCTACGAAGAGTTCAACTTGCCCCACCGAAGAAAAAAAGAAAACTCCAACCACCGATTGTCGAGTCCCCTCGAGGTTCCGCATGGCCGTCACCGTCACGCTCGCTGCTACACTGTCCCTCCTCGGGCCGCGCGTTCGGCCCAGCCGACGCCGCGCCGTCGTGGCGTCGTCATCCGCAACCGGCGAGCTGCGCGGCCTCCTGCAGATGGCGCGGCTAAAGAATGTGCCGATGGGCGCGGCGCTGGTGGCGTTCGGAGCATACGGCGCTCGGCACGCTCCGCCGCGCCCGCCGACGATGGTGGCGTCGCAGCTGGTGCTCGGTGTCGCGACCACCACCATCGTGACCACTGGCTCGATGCTCATCAACGACTACCACGACTGGCGCGGCGGCGTGGACACGGCAGAGACCAAGCCGGGCCGGCCGCTTGTGACGGGCGAGGTGCGGCCAGAGACGGTCAAGCTTGTCCTCAAGTGGGGGTACGCGCTCCACCTGACGCTGCTCTGCCTCGTCGAGCCCGCCGCCCTCCGCCTGCTCGTGCTCGCAAACACGCTGCTCACCTACCTCTACTCGGTGCACCTCAAGCCCGTCACTGGCGTGAAGAATGCAGTTTGCGCCGGCATCATCTCGATGGCGCTCGGGCTCGGCGCCGTCGCGCGCGCCGCGGGCGACGGCCTGCACCCGCTCCGCGCCGTCTGGCGCCCGCTCGCCGCCGTGGCGGGCCTCATCTGGCACCGCGAGGTCCTGATGGACATCGAGGATGTGGAGGGCGACGCGGCGGCGGGAGTGCGCACGCTCCCCGTCGCCCTCGGCGTGGGCGCGGCGGCGAGGCTCGCGCTCGCCCCACTACTCGCCGCCGCCGCCGCCGCCGCTTCTGCCGGCGGAGCTCGAGGCGCCCTCGCCTCGAGCTCGCTGCTGCTGACCGGTGCCCTCGCGGTGCGGGCGCAGCTCGGCGGCTTTGCGCCCGCGCTCCTCACCCAGGCCATCGAGCTGTCGCCCTTCCTGCTGCTGGTCGCGCTGTCCGCGCTGACGTCCGCATGAGCCGGAGTCTAGAGAGCGCGCGGCGTCCTACAAATGTTTTTTTATCGTGTGGAGCATGATAGTTGATTATTGATGAAGTGTATTTTGCATGGGGCATGACCTTAGCCCCTTTTTCTTTACTTATACGACGAAAAGCGGCTGTGTCCCGGGACCTGGCCTCTCTCGACCGCTATACGACCACACTCTACAGCACGGCAACGCAAGGGGAGTGCCGTGCCGTCACCATCGGCGCCACCTCCTCCCAAGCGTTTGTGGCCGGGTCATACCGCTCTACCGTCCTGCTGATCACGCCCTCGTCCTCCTCGTCCGCCTCGTCCTCGTTCTCGCCGCCCAGAGCATACAGCTTGCCGTCGAGCACCGCCACGCCGACAGCAGCCCGCGCCGCCGCCATCGGCGCGACCTCCTCCCACGCATTCGTCACCGGGTCGTACCGCTCCACCGAGCTGAGGTCGCCGGCCTCATCGTTGACGCCGCCCACAGCATAAAGCTTGCCGTCGAGCACCGCCACGCCAGGCCTGCTCCGCTCCACCGCCATCGGCGCCACCGCCTCCCACGCGTTCAACGCGGGATCGTACCGCTCGACCGAGCTGAGGGAGGCGCCATTGCTGCGCCCACCCACAGCGTACAGCTGGCCGTCGAGCGCCGCCACGGCGTGATAATTCCGCGCCGACGGCAGCAGCGCCACCGCCTCCCACGCGTTCGTCGCCGGGTCGTACTGCTCGACCGAGCTGAGGTGGCCGTCGTCGTCGTTCTTGCCGCCCACAGCGTACAGCTTGCCGTCGAGCACCGCCACGGCGTGAGTCTCGTGTGGTGTCGCCATCAGCGCCACCTCCTCCCACGCTTTCGTGGCAAAGTCGTACCGCTCCACCAGGTTGGAAGTTGCGCCTTCCGCCTCACTCATGCCGCCCACTGCGTAGAGCTTGCCATCGAGCACCGCCGTGCCGACAACTAGTCGTGCCGTCGGCATCGGCGCCACAGCCTCCCCCTCCCACTCGTTCGTTGACGGGTCGTACCGCTCCACCGAGGTAACAGTCCAACCCCCGCTGTCGTGGCCGCAAAACACGAGCAGGCGCGGCCTCTCGCGCTTCTTCAGCGTCTCCTTCCAGCCGCGGCGCCACGCGCGGCACGTCCCCTTGACGGCGTGCTCCTTGGTCGGCAGCTGGGCGAGGATGTGCGGGGCGAGGTCCGGCGAGAGGAGGACCTCGGAGAGCACCCACTCGGGCTGCTCCGCGAGCCGTGCGGCGTGCTCCTCCGCCACGCGCATTGCGGCGGCGCTCCAGAGAGGCGCCTGCTCGTCGATGAAGGCGACGAGCTGCTCTGGCGAGAGGCCAGACAGGCGGGCGCCGATGCGGTGGGAGGCCATTCGGCAATGGCGCGGTGAGCTCGGTTGTTGTTTGTTTTTCGGTGGAACAGGCCCGCTAGAGGCCAGGGGCTCGCGTTCGACAAGACCGGGATCGCTCTAACGGCAAACCTCTAGCTGACATGCGCGCCCCGTCGAGCTGAAGGCGGGCGCGCTGAGGTCGCACGCCAAGCCAAGTTATATGCCAAGGGCGTGCGATCGAGAATCGGCTCACGCACCTCTGCTCGCGTACCCTCACCCATAGAATTGTCACCGCCAGTGAGTGCGAGATAGGGCTAGCGGCTGGCGGCTAGCCTCTGAGGAGAGTGACCAGAGACACCTCACATGACCCCACACACGGTCTAGTCCGGCCTCGCGGTCGGCGGAGATTGCTAGAGGACGAGCAAGCCTGCTCTAGCCTCGCACGTTACTTCCTGTCGTCTGTTGTTTGTTGTGCCCTTGTTTGTTTCTCTTGGCACCTTGGAGTGCTGGGGGGGCGACAGGAAGAATGTGGCCCTGAGTTATGTGCCGGCACCAACTTGATTCCCGGATCGGCGTCTCACGGCCGGGTCGCGGGACGGGGAGGGGGAGGGGGGTCGATCCGTAAATCCGTAAATCCGTAAATTTGTAACCAAAAGCCACCAGGGAGTCCCCCACCGCACCCAGCTACCAGGCAGGCAGAGACTCAGCGCTCGCGACCTGCTGAGAAGCCGGGGGCTGGCCTCTCCAATGCTCGCGCAGCGCTGTCTGCACGGCGCGCAGCGCTCTCCGGGTCCGGGCGGCCCACACGGTGGGAAGGTCGACGACCGTACGACTGTAACGCTACGTATATCTCTTAACAATCACTTGTCCGCGCTTGCGCTGCGCCTCTGCGAGTGCGTCTATCAACCCCTCACGCGTGCGCATAATCCCCTCCAGCTTGTCGTACAGCCTTGACCTCTCTGCCTCTGCGGCATCAGCGCGCCTCGCCTCTGCCTCCATCGAAATCTGCAGCGCGTCGAGCTGCTCGCGCAGCTCGGCCTGCATCTTGGCCCGCATCTCGCCGATACGCCACTCACACTCAGCTCGAGCTGCATGATTTGCCTGGTCGGCCATCCGCTCAGCCGCTTTGATGTCGCGTTTAGCAGCCTGCTGCGCTGTCCTCAGGTTGTCGCAGTCGGAGCGCCTCAGCTCTTGTGCCGCAGCAAGCTCATCCCGCGCCGATGCGAGCGCCTCCTTCATAGCGTTCGCAGAGCGCTGCTCAGAAGCGAGCTCCTTGGTCTGTGACCGCAACTTCTCTTCCAACTCCTGCCGGAGCAGCATCTCAGCAGTCGCACTACTCGCGGCTGCATGGATGTCCGAGCCCTCTTAGCGTGGTTTGCGCGTCTGTGCTGACGAGAGTGCGGGAGATGCTGCCCTCGTGCTGAACAGAGATTGCGCCAGCGGTAGCAGTGCTGCTTCGGCACACAACAACATTGCGCGTGGCCGAGCTGGCATAAACCGCCGCACAGCCTCTGCGGCTGCAGCGGTGCTTCGGATCGCGTCGAGCACCGCGCCTGTATCGTGCATGAGCACAGCCTCGAACATACTGAGGTTGGCTATTCCGAGTTCGTTGAGCAGGCGCTCCAGCACAATGCTGAGCTGCGTCGGTGCCATTTGTCGACGTGTCCAAGGGAACGGACGTCGGCCGAAAGTCCTTCCGAAAAGTACGTCTAACGCCTCCTGCTAGCTGGGGCACGCTCCCATGCGGCTGGGGGCCGCTCTTCAGCTCGATTAGGGCGCTTTTCGCGCGATTTTACGGAATTACGGATTGGAGGGGGGTGGCGGCACATAGCACATAGGGGGAGGGGGAGACGCCGATCCGGGAATCAAGTTGGTGCCGGGTGTACGCCAACTCAAGGGTGTGTGTGGCAGCCACGCGAGCCAGCTGGCTGTGTGGTGTGTGTCTTGTGAGCTTGTTTGTGTCTGTGTGTCGTTCGTGCGTTAGAGCTGTCAAACGTTAAGAGCTGAACAGTGTTGCTAGTGTTAACAGTAACAACAGAACAACAGTGGGGCTCCCCAACAACAGTAGCTAACGTTAGGCCAGCTGAACAACAATAAGGAAGGCCCGGCAGTGACCCACGACGATCTCCAGCGTCCAGTGCGGGTAATACCCGAAAATACCTGGAAAACCCCAGGTATTTTCGGGTTTTACCCGGGTTTTTTGGCATTTTCTGCTTGCTGACCACTGAACAACAGTAACAACAGTAACAAACAGTAACAGCTTGGGCTGGGGAGAACACTTGAACAACGTTGAGGATTTTCAGCCAACAATAGTGCAACTGTTAGGCCCAAAGTTAACGTTTGACAGCTCTATCGTGCGTGTCGTCATCATCTGTCCCGCGTCCACCCATACCGCGTTGGTGTCCAGTCCGAGCCTGACTGTTGTTCATCTTTCTACATACATACAGGCCAGGCATGATGGCAGTCGTCGGGGCAGCGCATGCGCTGCAGCCGATCGAGGAGCCCGAGCACGCGAGCACTCGTGTTCTCTCTACTAGACTACGTGCGCCAGTCGTACACGGGCGCCTTCAGCGCGCGCCGGACCCGCTCGTACGCCGCGTTTAGCGCGCTCATCCGGTCCTGGTCCTCCCGCTCCCTCCCCTGCTCCCCGCCCTCCGCCAAGGACGACCCCTGAGCCCGCCCCTCCCCCGCCCCCTTGCGCGCGCCTCTGCCTCGCCCGAAGAGCCCCCGCCTGCCCGCGCCCGCCGCCTCGCGGCCTCGCCTCAGGTCCGGGTGGATCTCGCGCGCCCGCGCCACGCGAGCACGCCGCAGCTCCGCCTGCGTGATAGCCGCCGGCCGGCGCGACTGCAGCCCGAGGGTGGCCAGCTCCGCCTGGAGCCCCGCGAGCCTCTGCCGCCGCACCTCCGCCTCGAGCTGCGCCGGCGCCTTCTCGAGCGCCTCGAGGGCGCGCAGCGCGTCGCGGCGCCACACACGGTCGAGCCTGTTCACAGGTAGACGCGTGTGAAGAGAGGCTTCTCGCAGCACGTCGCTGCGCCAGGCGGCGGGCAGAGCCTCTTGGCCGCCTCCTCGAAGGACCGGCCGAAGGGCTCCTCATTCTCCTCCTCCTCCTCCTCCTCCTCCCGGGCTGTGCTCTCCTGCACGCCGCTGCTGCGGCGGAGGCTCTGGGAGAGCTCTGCCCAGAAGTCCATCGCGCTGCTCGAGAGCGTCACCTCCCTCGAGAGGCGGCGCAGCTCCTTCTTGTCCTGCAGGAGAATTGGTGCGTGAGATGGGCGATGCCGTGAGTGATGCAGATCTAGATGGAGGAGCACGCCTCGAGCAGCGCCTCGAGCCGGAGAAGAGTCTCGGCGTCCTTGCGCCGGCTCAGCCGCCGCTTCAGCCCGCCCAGCACGCGCCCGAGCAGCCGCTCGCTGTCTTCCGCGCTGTCGCTGGCCTCGGGGAAGAGGTCGATCAGACGCTTCGCGGGAGCCGCATCGATGCGCTTTGCCGGAGCCACATCAACGGCAGCGGCAACGCCATCTGACACAACCACGCTGTCGGGCACGTGGTAGAGATCAAATAGCTCGCTCCGACGCTGCTCCTCGTCAAAAGGCTGGCCGGAGCCGTCGAGGCGCATGGCGATCGAGGCACGACTCGTGAGGGTGCATCTCGGTGTCGAGAGGGATGCGAGCAACAGGGATGCGAGCAACAGCATACACGTGTGGGATTCTGATAAAAAAGAAACCCGGTGATTCCAGACCGAAAGCTGACCGTTCTTCCTTCCTACATACATACATGCAACTGCATGACGCGCGTCTCCCCAGCGCGCGGTCCGCGGACCGTCTCGCGAGGCGGGGGCCGGGGGTGGGCAGGCAGGGGGTGCCCTCTCTCGGTGGCCACCCGGCGCGCGGTTTTTCGTTAATAATATTAAATAAACTTCCCCGTTGCGCGTTGGCGGCCTCTGTCCTCAGAGCTAGGACGAGAGGAGAGACAGAGGACACAGAGCCGACGTCATGCCAAACATGAGAGTTTCGTGTGCGACACTTTCACCCTCGGCGTCCCCGCGCCCTCTCAGCTGCCGCCGCCCTTGGCTCGCGCATAGAAGGTGCTCATCTTCACCGTCCGTCCGCAGGGCAGCTTGCGCGACACCGAGACGCACATCTCGCCTGAGCCCACGACCTCGCGCCGCGAGACAAATGTCGGCTGTTCGCCGCCACGGCACGGCGAGCCGTGCTCCGCGCCGCCGAGCGCATGTGAGTAGGTCTCGCGCATGTCGAGCCCGCCCGCGCGCGGCGTGACTCGCGTCTCCACCGGCAGCCCGCAGAAGCCCTTGCCGCGCTGCGGCGAGCCGTCCAGCACCATCGTGTACCGCTTCGTGCCGCGCAGATCCGCGATCGAGAGGTGGACGACCTTGCCCTGCATCGATAGCACCTGCGTCTGTCGCCCGCGCACCGCGGCGCGCCGCTTCACCCACGGCACGCCCATCGCCTCCTCGAGAAACGCGTCCGCGCCGACGATGCGACA